TTTGAAAGCATGGAGTTCGTACTCTTGTTGCCCACAGGCTGGAAATGCACTGGCATGATCTCTCTCACTGCAACCCTCCCGCACCTCCCTGCGATTCAAAGCGACATTGCTTCTGCCCGTCAGCCTCCGCGTCAAAGTCGGCTGCGGATTTTAATCGACCATGAGCCGCACCCACAGCCATGGCCTAATTTTTTTGTATTTTTTTAGTAGAAATGGGGGCCGGGTTTTTCCCATGGTTGGGCGTCCAGGCCCTGGTCTTGAAACTCCTGACCTCAAGGTGATCTGCCCCGTCTCAGCCCCTCGAAGCTGCCTGGGGCATTAGCTGTGCTACGAGCGCCACATGCGCCAGCTCGTTTTTTTTTTTTTCTTTGACAGGAATTTCACCATCTGTCCACCCGAGGCTGGAAGTGCCAGTGGCTTGATTCTCCAGCGCACTGCAACCTCCGCCTCCCTACGGTATAAGGCGAATTCTCGCTGCTCAGTCTATAAAATGTAATCCATTCAGCCCACCTAAAGTATTGAAATAAAGCTATATATGCTCTGATACAGAAAGATGTCTCTGATTTTTTTTTTTTTTTTTTTTTTTTGGGATAGAGTCTCACTCTTGTCCAGGCTGGAGTGCAGTGGTGCAATCTCAGCTCACCGCAACCTCCGCCTCCTGGGTTCAAGAGATTCTCCAGCCTTAGCCTCCCGAGTAGCTGAGATTACAGGCATGCACCACCACACCTGGCTAATTTTTGTATTTTTAGTAGTGATGGGGTTTCACCATGTTGGCCAGGCTGGTCTCGAACTCCCAGCCTCAGGTGATACACCCGCCTCTGCCTCCCAAAGTGCTGGGATTACAGGTATGAGCCCGCCACTCCCGGCCAATAATTTTAAGTGATTATATATCTATATATGTTTCTGTATACTTAGATGACAGTAGGGAAAATACGTACTAATAACGTTAAGTACCTAGAATGTTGTATGGAAGGTGAATATGTTCTGTCTTTTTGTGTTTGAATGTTTTAAACAAGTGTAGTAGTCCTCCCTAGCCACAGTTTTGCTTCCCATGGTTTTGCATGCTGTTTTTAGTTACCCATGGTACAGTATAATAAGATTTTGAGAGAAAGGGACCACATTTACATAAATCTTATTGCAGTAATTGTTATAATTGTCCAGTTTTATTACCAGTTACTATTTCTTACTGTGCCTAATTTATAAATTAAACTTTATCACAGGTATGTGTGTATAGGAAAAAGCACAGTATATATAGTTCTCAGTTTAGGCTTTCCACAGTTCCAAGCATCCATTGAGGGTCTTGAAACGTTCCCCACAGACAATGTGGGATTACTCTGTGTGTGTGTGTGTGTGTGTGTGTGTATGCATATATATACACATAAAATTTATATATACACTATATATATTTTATATATATATGTACTATATTTTTTTTTAAATGAAAATAGAGTTTAAGAAGCCGGGGCAGGCGTGGTGATATGCTTGTAAGCATTTTGGGAAGCCAAGGCAGGTGGATCATTAGGTCAGGAGTTTGAGACCATCCTGGCCAACGTGGTGAAACTCCGTCTCTACTAAAAATACAAAAAAGCCAGGCGTAGTGGCAGACGCCTGTAGTCCCAGCCACTTGGGAGGCTGGGGTAGGAGAATTGCTTGAACCCAGGAAGCGGAGGTTGCAGTAAGCTGAGACCAGCCACTGCACTCCAGCCTAGGTGACAGTGAGACTTTGTCTCAAAAAGAAGCAACCCCTATAAATACCTTGTTTGTGTATTATTTGGGGTCTCCCTAAGTAGAATGGTATTGGGTAAATATTCAAGAAACTTTTCTCTTAAAAAATTGTTTTCTTTTTTCATTATAGAGACATATGTTCTCTTTTAAAAAGCATACAAAACATAATATAGAGAATTACATGGAACACAATATTAAAATTTTCTCTTCAACCTTCCTCTTCCTGCCTTGCCACCCAGTCACATTCATAGGAAGCCAGTTAAATTGTTAAACCACTTAGATTTATTTATTTATTTATTTATTTTGAGTCTCTCTGTGTCACCAGGCTGGAGTGCGGTGGTGCGATCTCGGGTCACTGCAACCCCCATCTCCCTGGTTCAAGTGATTCTCCTGCCTCAGCCTCCCAAGTAGCTGAGATTAGAGGCGCCTGCCACCACACCCAGTTAGTTTTTGTATTTTTAGTAGAGTTGGGGTTTCACCACGTTGGCCAGGATGGCCTCGATCTCTTAACCTCGTGATCTGCCCACCTTGGCATCCCAAAGTGTTGGGATTATAGGTGTGAGCCACTGCACCTGGCCCATATAGGTATTTTTTATGTGTATGCACAAATAAAACCTTTTCTCAGATTTGCCCTTTAAAATAAAAACTCAACATTATGTATCTGGGCATTTGTTCATCTCTGAACATACATGTTTATGACATTCTTTTTAATGGCTATGTGGTAATTCATTGTAGTGGTGTGTACTATAATTTCTTTAACCAGAGATTTTTCTAATTAAATTTTCTTTTTTCTTACAGAGGAATATCTCCATCCCAATTTAATATTAACAAAATAGTACATTTCATTTTATGATCCAAACTTTGGCATGTTACTGTTCCTCTATGGCATATTACTATTTCTCTATTTTATTGTGTATTTCCCTCTAATGGTTTTGGCCTTGTTTTTATGTATTTCAGGTCTGCGGATCAATGGAGAGCTAATCACTGCCTACCCACAAGTGGTGGTAGTCAGAGTACCAACCCCTTGGGTGCAGAGTGATAGTGACATCACTGTTTTGCGCCATCTAGAGAAGATGGGATGCCGGTTAATGAACCGACCTCAAGCCATCCTGAACTGCGTTAATAAGTTCTGGACATTTCAAGAGTTAGCTGGCCATGGTGTTCCTCTGCCAGATACTTTCTCTTATGGTGAGCCTACTAAAGAGCATGCATAGCCTAAATATTAACCACTGATAGTTTAATAGGATAAATTTACAGACATGAAAGAACATCTTACAGAAGTGACTTTCAGTTTTAACACACTGGACAGGCTAATTACAAATCATATCTTAAGATTTGTTTCATATTATGGGGGAAAATAGGGTTAACAAACTTTCAAGATTAAAAGTATTTTAGGTTTTACAAGCCATGAGTTCTCTGGTAACCCTCAGTAATGCTGTTGTAACATGAAAGCTGCTATAGACAATGCTTAAACAAATGAGTAGTTTTGTTCCAATGAAACTTTATTATAAAAACAGCCAATAGGTCAAATTTGACCCGTAGGCCTTAGTTTGCCAACCTCTGTGGTAAAAGATAATAGAATTTTATGACATTAATTTTTCGTTTTCTTCATTACCATTTTGATAACTCAAATATTTTAATGTTTTTAAAGAAAGTAACACTTTAGTAGGTATGCTTTAAAACAGTGCTTTCAAACTTCTGGTAAAAGGGTTTTTTTTTTTTTTTTTTTTAAAGATCAATCTGTGGTAGATTAATACTCGTGTAAAATACAATAAAACGATCACAGCAGTGCCAGATTGCTATAAAAGCTTCTGCTGCCTACCCTTTTGTATTTATCTGACCGCATAACAGTAGTGAACAAGTCCTATACAGGCACAGGTTGCAGGACCACATTCTGAGTAACACTGCTCTAAACAACATTTTGCTAATGTATTTCCTGCCTTTAATTCTCTTGTTTGGAAAAGACCAAACTTAAATTAGTGCAGAGTTTTCCATAAAGGTGTTTCTTCAAATATCCAGAAGAATGCTTGGAGATTTAATGAGGCTTTACGAAGGAACCCTTGTCCTCTCCTTATTGTTAATATTTTAAAGAAAGGAACTCTTCCTCCCCAACCCTCACCAAGCCTGTATGGCATGCGTGGACACAGTTTCCATTTTTAGCAATTGCATAGGAAGAGACAGAATTAATGTAAGTTGAGAATTCTGTGGTTTTTTTTGTTTTTTTTTTTTTTTGAGACGGAGTCTCGCTCTGTCGCCCAGGCTGGAGTGCAGTGGCCGGATCTCAGCTCACTGCAAGCTCCGCCTCCCAGGTTTATGCCATTCTTCTGCCTCAGCCTCCCGAGTAGCTGGGACTACAGGCGCCCGCCACCTCGCCCAGCTAGTTTTTTGTATTTTTTAGTAGAGACGGGGTTTCACCGTGCTAGCCAGGATGGTCTCGATCTCCTGACCTCGTGATCCGCCCGTCTCGGCCTCCCAAAGTGCTGGGATTACAGGCTTGAGCCACTGCGCCCGGCGAGAATTCTGTGTTTTTAATGCTTTGGGGATCTTAATAGTTTATAACATGATTGTACAATGTTGATTTTATGAGAATGGAAAGAAGGGAAAAAAGGCTAACCAAATTAACAAGTATTACCTTTGTTCTATTGATGAAGGATTAAAATTTGGTGACCAAGTCATCATAATTTTGCAAAGCTACAAATTTCTCATATTTCACTTGTTTAATGAACTTTATCGTGTCTCAACTTTTCTCTCTCATCGTGCCGATTTTTGTAGCTACAGTCTATTTTTGCTCTAATTTTGTTATTGTGTCATTTGTTTTTGGTCAATAAAAAGAGTGAGAAAGGAGACTTAACCCAGGATGCTGAGTTACCCCAGTGTAGAAAGAACTCTGATTAATAATGGAGACCAAAAAAATTGGGGTGTGTGTGTTTGTTGGTAATAAAGAGGAGTGTGTCAGTGTGTGCAGCATCTCTTCAACCTTGGATAGATCTTAACCAACTAATTCTTCAGTTTCTTAATCGAAGCAGGGAATTGAATATATTAAAGTAAATCTTGGGGCTTCTATTATTTGTGTGGGAGAATAATAAGGATAAAAACATGAGAAATGGCGTAGAATTAGGAAACTCTGTTTAGCTGAAAGATACTTAAGTTAGACATCAGAATATGTATAGGTTAAGGGAGCTATTATTTGTTTTACAAGGTATTGTTTTAAACTGATATTCAGTTATATTTTCAACTTATACATACTTTCTCCAAGAAAAAACAGCCATCAGGCTCTTACCTTCAACTTCCTTGTGCTGTTGGTTGTCTTTAGTGTAGATAAAATTGATCACAAAACACTTCTGCTGCTGTTTGTCTTAAATTTTTTTATTGCTCAAACCAGGTGGCCATGAAAATTTTGCTAAAATGATTGATGAAGCAGAAGTACTGGAGTTCCCAATGGTAGTAAAGAATACGCGGGGTCATAGAGGTGTGTATGAGTTGTTGGTAAGGTATATAGTTTTGAAACTATTCTTGCTTATTAATATGAGTGACTTTGAAGAATAATTAGAGGGAAATTGTTAGGTGCATGATACCTCAGACTTACAGAAGGCTACTATGAGTTCAGTTTGGCTAAAAGCTATTTCTGTTTAGTGGTTACCTAGAGATTTTAACATACATACTTAGACTGAGTCTCAAGTTAGACCTGTCTGTATCTTCCTCAATAATATAAGGACCATCCGTAATCCCAGCACTTTGGGAGGCTAAGGCAGGTGGATCACCTGAGGTCAGGAGTTCAAGACCAGCTGTCCAATGTGATGAAACCTCGCCTCTACTAAAAATATAAAAATTAGCCAGATGTGGTGGCATACGCCTGTAATCCCAGCTACTCGTGAGGTTGAGGCAGGAAAGTGGCTTGAACCCGGGAGGCAGAGGTTGCAGTGAGCCGAGATCATGCCACTGAACTCCAACCTGGGCAGTAGAGCCAGACTCTGTCTAAAAAAAATGCAAAGAAACAATATAAGACCTTAGATCACTAACTCCAGTCATCCCCCTCTAAAGATATATAGTTTGAAGACTTAAACGAATAAGGTAAAACTATTAACACTTTATAAGATGTCATATGAAAATATCTTAATGATTTTGGATTAAGGTAGCCTTTTTTTTTTTTTTTTTTTTTTAAATGAGATGGAGTTTTGCTCTTGTTGCCCAGTCTGGAGTGCAGTGGTGTGATCTCAGCTCACTGCAACCTCTGTCTCCCAGGTTCAAGCAATTCTCCTGCCTCAGCCTCCTGAGTAGCGGGATTACAGGCATGTGCCACCATGCCTAACTAATTTTTGTATTTTTAGTAGAGACAGGGTTTCATCATGTTGGCCAGACTGGTCTTGAACTCCTGACCTCTGGTGATCCACCTGCCTCGGCCTCCCCAAGTGTCGGTATTACAGGCGTGAGCCGCTGCGCCCAGCCTAAGATAGAATTTTAAGGCATAAAATGATACATCAATCTGAGTACAGTGACATATTTTGTGTTTTGGCAGGGATGGCTGGATCAGAGTTCAGCTGGAACTGTTGACTGGATTCTTTATATTTGGCTTCTCCAGTAGGGCAGCCAAGAGTCTCAGGCCTCCTACGGTGAATGCTAAAGTGAACAAAGAAGCTGTATGACCGTTTATGGTCTACCTTCATAAGTCATAATAGAATTAATTCTGCTATATTCTCTTGTTTGGAGCAATCACAAGCCCTCCTAGATTCAGCCAGAAGTGACGTAGATTCAGTATCCCTCCTTTCCCTTCCCCACCATGGGAGGAATTTAGAACCATATATCTAAAACAGCCACTTCCATTGGCACAAAAATAGACAAATAGAGCAGTGGAACAGGCTAGAGAATTCAGAAATAAATTGAGGTAACATACTGCTATATTACTATATCCTAATATAGTATATTAGTATATTGTATAATAATATATCACACATATGTTTTAATTCAGAGATAAAAAGTTTTGCTAGTGAATGAGGTTGACATTATTGGCTAACCTGGAGAAGTACAAATCTAGACCGCTGCCTCACAACATATATCAAAATAAATTTTAGTTTGTCATGAAACATGAGTTTGGGGAGTGGTAAAAGGAGATTGTTTACCTTGTCTTTATATATTTTTGTATTATTTCACTGTTAAAACAGTTCTAACAAGGAAAACTTAAAAAAAAAAAGTGTAGTTGATTCTGAAACAGCAGATTGTGATACAAGGAGATTCAGATAATAGGTATCATCTGCCCACAATTGATGACTTAACATGTATTTTTATTCTTTTCAATCGTAGGTAAAGCTGTTTTCTTGGCTCGAGATAAGCACCATTTGGCTGATCTAAGCCATCTTATTCGCCATGAAGCACCATACCTGTTCCAGAAGTATGTTAAAGAGTCTCATGGACGGGATGTACGTGTCATTGTCGTGGGAGGCCGTGTGGTTGGCACCATGTTACGTTGTTCAACAGATGGGAGAATGCAAAGCAACTGCTCATTAGGTAAAAATAATACAAATATCTTTCTAGTATATAGAGTGACATTATAACTTGTCCAGTGAGTATTCATTTGTGTGTAACTGTAGACTTTCTTAATAAGTTGAAAAACGTGTTTCCTTTTACATGTAAATACGATTTTTACACATGCCATCAATGTAATTAAACTCGTTATTTTTCTAGTAATATAATTCTGTTTCACTGAATCATATTAAATCTGCCTTCACCCATTCTCAATTCGTAACCCAGTTTACACATGTATTGGATGTCTGATAGGAGTTAGAGATTCCCTCTTTGGTGATATACTTATTTTGTATATAATCAGAGTTCCTATAAGATGTCTTCACCCATTTTACCCATTGGTCCAAACAAGATTGCTGATTTTGATTTTCTTAAATATGTATTTTCTCAGATCTCTTATTGTTCAGGTACATCAGAGCTTAGGCTTTGGGTTTTTATCCTCCTCTTCTCTGTTTATATCACTTTCTTAGTAATCTTGTACAGCTCATGACTTTAAATACCGTTTGTATGTTAATTATTTCCAAATTTCTATCTCCAATTTAGACTTTTTTCCCTGCTCGAACTCCAGGTTTATATAAGGAATTGCTTACTCAGTATCTCCAAAACTGAAATCCTTACAATGTGTTCTACCCGTAGTTATCTCCTTATCATTTTATTCTTATGTATGTATGAGTGAGTGAATGATGGGGTCTTGCCTGTCACCCAAGCTGGAGTACAGTGGCAGGATCACAGCTCACTACAGCTTCAACCTCCCGGGCTGAAGCAGTCCTCCTGCCTCAGCCTCTCAAGTAGCCGAGACCACAGGCACATGCCACCATGCCCGGCTAATTATTTTATTTTTTATTTTTTGAAACAAGAGCCTCACTCTGTCACCCAGGCTGGAGTGCAGTGGTGCAATCTCAGCTCCCTCACTGCAACCTCCACCTCACGAGTTCAAGCGATTCTCCTGCCTCAGCCTCCTGAGTAGCTGGGACTACAGGCACCTGCCACCATGCCCAGCTAATTTTTTTATTTTTAGTAGAGACGGAGTTTCACCATGTTGGCCAGGCTGGTCTCAAACCTCTGACCTCAGGTGATCTGCCTGCTTCGGCCTCCCAGAGTGCTGGAATTACAGGCATGAGCCACCACACCCCACACCGGGCTAATTTTTTACATTTTTTTGGTAGAGATATGGTCTCCCTATGTTGCTCAGGCTGTTTTCAAACTCCTGGGCTCAAGCAATCCTCATGCATTGGCCTTCTAAACTTGTGGGATGATAGATGAGAGCCACCACTTCCAGCCTGTCTGTCTTGCTTAATGACAGCTCTGTTTTTCTGATTTAGACCCAAATCCTTAGAGACATCCTGGTCCCTCTCTTCTCTTATACCTCATATTCAAATTGTCAGGAACCCTTTGAAATCTCTACTCTCAGAATGTTTCCAAATCTTACCAATTTTTACCATCTCTACTCCTAATACCATCTTCTCTTATTTGGATTACCTATAGTAGCCCCTTAAGGGGTCTTCTTGCTTCTACTCTTCCCTCCTAATCTCTTCCTAACACCACAGTGGTATGATGGATGCTTTTACATTGCAAGTCAAATCAGCTTTCGCTCAAAATCCTCTAATAGGGCCAGGAACCATGGCTCACACTGGTAATCCCAACACTTTGGGAAGCTGAGGCAGGAAGATCATCCTGAGCTCAAGGTTCAAAGCCAGCCTGGGTAATAGAGGGGAAGACCCCATCTCTACAAAATATAAAAATAAATTATCTGGGGCCAGGCTTGGTGGCCCAAACCTGTAATTCCAGCACTTTCATAGGCCAAGGTGGATGGATCACTTGAGGCCAGGAGTTCAAGACTAGCCTGGCTAATATGGTGAAACCCCATCTCTACTAAAAATATAAAGTTAACCAGGTACAGTGGCACATGCCTGTTTAGTCCCAGCTACTCGGGAGGCAGAGGCATGAGAATCTCTTGAACCAGGAGGCAGAGGTTGCAGTGAGTCAAGATTGCCCTACTGTACTCCAGCCTGGGCGACAGAGTGAGACTGTCTCAAAAAGAAAAAAAAAAAAAAATTAGCTGGTCATGGTGGCATGCACCTGTGGTCCCAGCTACTCAGGAAGCTAAGGCAGAAAGATTGCTTGAGCCTGGGAGGTCGAGGCTGCAGTGAGCCATGATCATACGATCATACCACTACACTCCAGCCTGTCTCAAAAACAAAAACAAACAAAATTCCTCCAATAGCTCCCCAGTTGCATTCCCAGAAAAATCTTAAGTTCTTGCCCTAGCTACCAGGCCCTAGGTGATGTCATCCCTACTTATCTCTCTGAGATCTATAACCACATGGATGAATCTCAGAAACATAATGTTCATCTAAAAAGGCAAGTCAAAGAAGAGAATACATGTATTTCATTTATATAAAATTTAAATATATGCAAAACTAAACAATGCAGTGTTGGAAATACATTTAGTAAAACTAAAGGTGGAATATTGATAAGCATGAAATTCAATATGGTGGCTTATTCAGAGTACATGATAGAGTAAGAACAGTGAAGATTTGAAAGATATTGGTTATATTAATTTTACTTTCTACTTCTTTTTTTCTGATGGAATCTTGCTCTGCCACCCAGGCTGGAGTATAGTGGTGTGATCTCGGCTTACTGCAACCTCTGCCTCCCAGGTTCAAGTAATTCTCGTACCTCAGCCTCCTGAGTAGCTGGGACTACAGGTGTGCACCCCCATGCTGGGCTAATTTTTGTATTTTCAGTAGTGATGGGGTTTCGCCATGTTGGCCAGGCTGGTCTTAAACTCCTGGCCTCAAGTGATCCACTCACCTCAGCCTCCCAAATTGCTGGGCGCCACCAGGTGTGAGCCACCGTGCCCAGCCTACTTTCTATTCTTGAAAAATGACTTCTGCCTCCTTGAATTAGCTCTTCATGTCTCATTTTAATTTTTCATTATAACATGTCATGCTGACTAGCTAGAAGAGCGCTAAATGGCATCTTTTCTGGGTCACCTTTACCTTACTACGTTGAGATTTAATTAATAGTTACTCTTCATATTTTAAGCAAAAAGAACTTTAGAAAGTAACTTAGTTTTATATTAAGAAGTAAATTGTTTTTTTTAAGTTTGTTTTGAGGTCGGGTGCTGTGACTCAGTCCTGTAATCCCCGGCTCAACACGTTGGGATGCCAAGGCAAGAGAATGGCTTGAGCCCTGAGGTTTGAGACCAGTCTGAACAGTGTAGAGAGACCCCATATCTACAAAAAATAAATTAATTAAGCCAGACGTGATGATTCACACCTCTGGTCCCAGCCACTTGGGAGGCTGCATTCTGGCCTGGGCAACACAGCAAGACCCTGACTAAAAAAAATAAATAAAAATAAAAAAAGGTTGTTTTGAGATCAGTGAGGCTTACAAAAAGGTATAAAGGATTCCTTTGCACCCATTAACCAGCTTTAGAAATAAGCCGTCAATATAGTTATCTGTTTACTCTCTCTGATCATTTTCTTCTCTCTTCCCCACATCCTGAACTTGGTATTTATCTTTCCTATAATGGGCTTTCAGTGCTTCTGTCTATATTCCTAAACTAGTTATTATTTTGTGTTATAAAACTTCATCCTTAGATACATCGTCAAGAGTGTTTCTGGGTTAGCCCATTTACCCAGAAGTGGGATTTCTGTATTGTAGTGTATTACAGTAATTCAGCTCTACTAGATATTGCCAAATGATTCTCCAAAGTGAGTATACTACCTTAAGATTTCTCCGCATCAAATACTGTTTCGTATAGTGCCACCTTCTTGCCAACCTGTAAGGTCGGTAGACATTAAGCCTTTTGCCGAAATAATGTGAATTATGTCATGTCATTATTGTAATTTATCTCTCACTGTTGAGGTTATGCATCTGTTCACTTTTTTAAGTGCATATTCCAGTATGTCATCTATGAATTGCCTGTGCAGGTCCTTTGTGTCTTTTTTTAATCGAGATTTTTTTTTTCCTTTTTTGTATTGATCTACAGGCTCTTTTTCTTTTTTTGTTTATAAAAATATTTTATTTTTTATAGAGATGAGGTCTTGCTGTGTTGCCCAGGCTAGTCTTGAACTCTAGGCTTCAGGTGATCCTCCCATCTCAGCCTCCCAGAGTCCAGTGATTATAGGTGTGAGCCACTGCACCTGGCCAGATTTATCTAATCTGACTTCAAATTCTTTTGTCAGTTATATGAATTGTAAGTACAGTATTTTCATCCCAGTCTGTGATATTTCTTCTTTTTTTGATTACAGATTTTGATGGACAAAAATTGTCACTTTTAATGTCAAGCATATTCATCTATTTCTTTACGTTCTCTACTATTTTTAAATTGAAGAAATTCTTCTCCACCCTTTGGTCATGTTCAGTTCTTGAATACGGTCTTCTAAAAGCTTTTCCATGTTTAGGACTTTAATCTACCTGAAATTGATTTTGCTGTTCAGTGTGATGAAAGAGATCCTGTTTTCTTTTTTCAAAATGAGTAACTGGTTGTCTGAATGCTACTTATTGAATAGTCTGTTTATTACTAATTTGTAATGTATTTAATTTCCACGTGTGCATGGGTCTATTGCAAGGTCCCTTAATCTATTGTATCATGCTTTTTCTCTATGAATACCAGTCTTTATTCTTTTGGTACTATGTGTAGATATCTGATAGAGCAAGAGCCTCTCTACCTTGTTTGTCAGAATTGAATTGCAGTTTGTGTTCAGTGTTTTACTATTGTGAGCAATAATACTATAAACATCCTTGTGAATATGCTTTGTTTTATCTACTGGTGCTTTTGTCTTGATAAGTCTCATCAAGGTTGGAATTGCTGGAACAAAATACATATTTAAAAAAATTTATGGCCAGGCACAGTGACTCACGCCATAATCCCAGCACTTTGGGAGGCTGAGGTGGGAGGATCGCTTGAGGTCAGGAGTTTGAGACCAACGGGCAACATGGTGAAGCCCCATCTCTACTAAAAATACAAAAATAAG